CTCAGTCTTAGAAAAAGACTAGAACTTTTCCAGTTATAAATGGGGGGGACATTCCATAGAAAGGAGCACTGCTGATCTGACTTGGTGATGGGTGGACCCACCTACAGACCTCAACTTTTATGCTTAACTAGCTGGAGAGGAGGGGTTTTGTGTTTTGTTCACTGTTAGATCCCCAATGCCTAGAACATGCCCCTGGCTCACAGGAGGACCAGTAATTATTTGAGTGACTAAACACAAAGGTCCTCAATTCCCACATACTTAATTTTCACTGAATCATTTCTTCTCGGCATAAGATATTAAAACAACTAAACCTAATTTTGAATTCTCTGCTTTAAAGCATTATATTCCTGCAAGAAATTAGCCAATGACTGGATTGTTTGCTGAACATGCTGTATCTGAAAGCATGGGTTGGCAGTATGAGACCTATTACCTCTAAATCTGTGTGGCTCAGTGAAGGCCAGAGCACTTGCTTGATACAAGCTTATCCTGAACTTGCAACTTTATCCAAATGTGCAAATTATTGATGCTTCTTACAAACACATTGGTCTTTGCAATAGAAACCATGACAGTTCCTCATTAAAGTATGAAGAACCCAATATCCAGGCAGCACATTTCCTTCTGCTTTAGGTAAAATCAACTCTGCATACAAAATGATTGGGTCTTGTACTTTTCTCGTCATGTTCTCGTATGCTGCTGTATGCCAGATGCTCGCTCTTCTTTCTTCTGGATGCCAGGGCATACTTCATAGCATCAGAATCTTCCCCAAGGGTACCTCTGCATCTTCACTCTGGCCACAGAGACAGGTCTGGTGGCCAATTCAAAAGAAAAGACTTGTGCCAGATTAGACCCCAGTACTGAAGTTTCCTTCCTGTCAAAGCCACTTCTAAGGGAACCATCCCGTGGGATTTCCTCCCCAGCATCCCTGCCCTGGCTTCATGTACCCAGTTAAATTACATCCCTGGCTAGCTTGCTCTGGCCTGTGATCTGACAAAGCCTCGGAGGAGGGCTGCTCTAACTTGTGTTCCTAATCAAGTGGCTCAGAGATTATAGGCCTTTTAGAGGACAAAGGGACCTTGGAGATTGTAGACACCCTCCCGCTCACCCCACAGCCCTTTCCACTGTCTTCTAGGTACATGAGGCTTCCAAACATTGAACATGCAGATAAATCTATTATGTGATGGATGGAGAATTTAAAACACATAATATTCTTTAAAACCAAAGTTGAAAGGCATTTTCTTTACTTCTCTTATTTCCAAGTTCAATCTTTTAGATAGAACAGGGATTAAAAATAACTCCCAAAATTCACTTAATAAATGAAGTGATTTTTTTTTTTAATTTTATTTTTTCCCCCCAAAGCCCCAGTAGATAGTTGTATGTCATAGATGCACATCCTTCTAGTTGCTGTACATGGGACGCGGCCTCAGCATGGCTGGGGAAGCGGTGCGTCAGTGCGCACCCGGGATCCGAACCCTGGCCGCCAGCAGCAGAGCGCTTGCACTTAACCGCTAAGCCACGGGGCCAGCCCTGAAGTGATGTTTTAACTTTTCTCTCCATTTGATCTCTGAGTTTACTGCTCTGCAGTAATACTTTTTGGTTAAACAAACAAGCCTCCCCAATGTAGGAGAACTATTATCACAGAGCAGATTCAGCTAAAGAGTTGCTTATATGTGTTTGAGAAGCACAGCCAATTTCACATCATAGTGCAGGTATTAGAGATGTTAATTACAAGTCACTTCTCTCTGGACCTCAGTCTTCACATCTTTAAAAAGAGAGATGGGACTACAAGTCTCTTCCAGAGTTGGGATTCTATCAGTTTTAGGTCTTCCCCTCCAGAACGGCATTAAGGAGCTGAGGAGGAGGGATGGAGGGGAACCAAGGGCAAAGAACACGCGCAGGCCACCCTCACGCTGCTTTTTACACACGTGTGCATGTCCTTTCTTCACATAGTTCTTGTCGTGACTAGACGCCCTTTGTTTCTAGGTGCATGTTAGAATTAATTGTGTCACTAATGATAAATAAGCAGTGTGAAAAATAATACCAAGTGATTGTATAAATATCACAATAATAAGAGGTTTTTAGATATACTTAAGTTTTGTGTTTTTTTAACTTTAGAAAAAAGAGAGATATGATTTTGAATAAGAGTTTGTCACTTTTTAGCACCTCATAGTTACAAATTACTTCATTTGTTCATTCTGCACAGGTTTATTTGTCTACAAACGTATTCTCTGTGCCAGGTTCTGGGTTAAGCCCTGGGCTTACAGAGGGAATATAGCTTGATATGGTTATTCATTGAAACATTTTAAAAACATATTAAATAACTTAATAAAGTTGAGCTAGAAGAGGAACAGAGATGTGTGAGATCACTCATGGGATCCCAAGCAAGAATTGACACCTTTTACTTGAAGGTTATCACCCTGAATCCTACTGTCTCTCTACAAATATTGTGAACTTTCTGGATAGAGCGTTGAGCTGGATGTTTTTGAACTTGAAAACTTCGTTCTTTTTTTTTTTTTTTTTT